TCACTCTTGCTCAGGCTGGTCTTGAACTCCTGAGCTCAAGCAATCCTCCCACCTCAGCCTCCCAGAGTGCTAGGATTACAGGCGTGAGCCACCACTCCTGACCTGTTTTTTTCTTTTAATAAGTGAGTTTATCCCATTTGTCATTATCACTATTACAGATAATTTTGATATTTCTTTTGATATCTTGTATCTTCTCTTTTTAATGTTTTCTGGCCATTTCCTTTGTTTTATATATTTTGCTATTTAGTCTAGATTTTCTTGTCTTCCTTTGTCCAAACTGCCCCTATTTTGGTAATTTAGAATGTAAATTTTCATATATCCAAACAGTGGGTTATAATTTAGTCATTAAATGCAAGTTGGCACATTTTAACACCAAATTCCATTGAGAACATAAAAGAAAAACACCCAAGATACCATAGACATAAAACAATGTCCTCATCTTTCATAGTAGCTATTTTCAAGTCTTTGTAGAGTATAAAATTTGTAATGTTTTAAAGGTTATAAAATATATTTTTTGGCATTCCCTTTACTAATGAAATTAACCACACCCGTGTCCAGTACCTGAAGACCTAGGAACTGAAAGGAGGGCAAAGCTCTCCCTGATCCTAAAAATCTTAAATGCTTGATCTCCCCAAGTTTCAGCAAATGCCATCACATATCAACCTGAGGGTTTCAAGTGGTCATCAGTAACTGTGTTCCCATCAGGTATTGAGTCTGAATGTGTAGGCATTGCCCCCTACACACGCTGAATTTCTTTCCTGCCTATTCATAGCTTAGCACATCCTGAAGGACAGGAGACATGTACCTTCATGCAGAAGAGAATGGTCATGAAAGAAACAGCAATGAAGACAGAAATCAAGAACACGATGAACCAAGCAACCCAGTGTAGCCAGCTTTCCAGTCCCATCATGCACATGTACTCCTAGAGAAAGTAAAAGAACCAGATTTTATGCAGTCCAATGCTCAGTTCCAGCTGGTCTGGTCCAGCAGCCTGTGACTGAAACCCCAGCAGACTGGGGTGAAGGGTCGTGTGTGCACTTGGGGGAGCTGCCTAGCAGGGGGTGATGGAGACTGAGTGAGTTGGGAAAGAGGAGTACAAACCAGTGAGTGGCACTAATTTGGCTTCGCTTTGGTAGAGATAGGCCTTGTATTAAAATCATTCTTCTTTTGCAATGGTAAGTATTCTGTTCATTCATCCATTTATGGAATGCCTACTATAAGTGAATGGCTCCTATGGTCCTGAGAATAAATCTAAACTGCTTGGCATCCTATGCCCTGGTCACACAAACCTTATTGCAATTCATCTGAATGCTACATGACCTCTATATCTTTTTGTCACATACACTGTTCCCATTCTTTTTTCTCTCATTCTCTCTTTACCTAGCAAAATCCTACCTGATTTTCAAAACCTAGTTCAAGAGTTACCTGCTCTGTGGAGCCTTCTCTGGTCAGCCTTGCCCATCCTCCACACAGCCATAGCACCTGTACATTCCATTATCTTAGCACTGGGATTCTTCTGTAACACTCGGTCTTATTGCCACGCATCGCCCGAGGAAAAGGTCTGTGTCACTTGTATCTGCATCCCTAACAGACGTGCATGGTAGATACTAACGTAAGTCACTCAGTCAATGTCTGGCAAGTGAACACGTGCAGAGCGCTGTGCTAGGCACTGCGCCAAAGATTTGGAGAAGATAACAGGCAAAGGTGCTGAAGACACACATGGTAACAACACTGAATGTACCACACTGTCATTGCAGAAGTTGCCTTTTTACCTTTTAACATTGGAACTAGTAGTTGCTTGATTAATCAAAAACCAGTTGGTTAAAGCAGGGAATCACAAAAATGACATACACATACCTTAAATTTTTGTTTTTATTTATAGTGTATAAATGTATAACGTGTGCCAGTATGTGGATGTCAGCACGTGAGCTCTCCTCCCGCAGCATGGGCCTGCTCGCGGAAGCAGTAACGTAACGCTCCCTCAGACAGCACGCTCCACCATCAGTCTCGAAAGTGGACTGAGGGCGTAAATGTAGGTGTGAAGAAACCAGTACAGACTATGCCAAGGCTTTTTATAACTTTTTTCCCAAATTTTACAGTGGTTTCACCCACATGAAATTTATTAGCATGTTTTTTAGAGATCTGCCTTACTTTCCAAAGCATTCAAGTAAACTTTCAAAGGAAACTCCAGTCCATTTCATCCGCTTATACAAGATTTAATTAAATCACAAATTATAAGAGTAAGTACAGGTATAAAGAGGTTTAGGAACAAACCTCGATAAACCTACAACTCAGCAAGTAAGAGGAGATGAGCCCATGTGTACGAGAGAGAAGTCTACCAGCTGCAGTGCATTGGGAGCTCCAATCCGAAATTTTACAGAGGGGATAGAAGTGTCAGTTACTTTGGACAACTGATTACACAGAGACCAGTTAAGAATGCTTCAACTGTGCTATAACAGAAATGGAAACGACATGCTGTGGGAAGATGGGATGGAAGATTGATGAAATTTAGAAAGACTTTTTCTTTTTTTTTTAGAGACAGGGTCTTGCTCTGTCACCCAGGCTGGAGTGCAGGGGCGTCATCACAGCTCACTGCAACCTCAAACTCCTGGGCTTAAGCGATCCTCCCGCCTCAGGCCCCCAAAATGCTGGGATAACAGGTAGGAGCCACCAAACCAGGCCTGGAAAGACCTCTTGAAGGAGGTGAACTGCAATATGAATTCTGAATGAGAGGGCATTCCAAACAGAGGGCCCACCTATAGAAGGAGCAGTATAGCTAGCACCTATCTGGGGAGAAGAAAAGGAGCACAATCAACCAGAACCTACCTGTGCTGAGGGGGAAGTAGGGAGAGGAGGGTCGAGGGTGTTACAGGTGGCTCCTAAATTAAAGACAATCTCTTTTAATTTTCTTTAACCATCCATGTAGTCAGACTAGATCAAAACTAGATCAACGCGTGGGGGTTTAAGGAGAGTTCTATTAGTTGTTTCAGTGTTCAAAGAAGGAAATGATATTAGCACCCTATCCCCTGTTATCCCACCTTGGTCCTAAGGACAAACTGTCAGGGCATTTTCCCTCTTGGAATAGTTCCTGTATTAATGACTCCTCCTGGAATGCAACTTGCCAACTCCTGGGTCCTTGCCAGGAAGAGTTGAGAAGTTTGGGTTGAGTCTCAGGGCATCATCTGAGCAGAAAAGAGGAGCCGACCACACTGATCCTGTCAGCACACAGGGCTGAAAGCTGTTGTGGAACTCCCCGGAAAACTATCTTTGCCCGCAGAAATGGAGCACATTCCTCTTCTCCGGCACGTTTCATCTAAGAGGCCACCTGGAGAAGCTAAAGCTTAATTATTGGAAAACTGTTTTACTTTGCTTAGGGAGGGATACTCTTTATCTGGGGATGAAAACTACCTTTTTTTTTTTTTTATGGCTGGGTTGTACTTCCCATACTTATTTTGAAAATTTTAACCTCTATATGCCTGAGGTTAGTTCCTCTGCTAAATAAGAATAATAGTAGTAGTTCTCTTCTAGAACTGTGTATCAGTCAGGGTCCCTAAAGGAAACAACTGTTACACTCAAGTTAGAATAATTCAAGGAGGGTTTATTTATAACAGGTCTAACTACAAATGTGTACACAGGGACAGAAACTCTACAGGACAGTGCAGAAACCTAGGGCCACCAGTAATAGAGTTATTACCCTCCTTGGACCCAAAGGGATGAGAAGGAAGAGAGATTACCATAATCCAGAAAGGGAAAGAGTCTTTTGGAGCAAGACATCTTGAGAGAAGAGTGACCTTCAGTTAAGGAAGGTGTCGAGCCCAAAATGACCTGCAGAGAGGGAGCTGGGGATCAGCACTGGGACCCGTCCTCCCCCTTCCTCCTGAGGGCCCACCAGGTCCTTGAAGGCTCTTAGGAATTCCTACCGGTCAGCCTTCAGGGCAGACAGCAAGATGCAAAAAGTTTTTCAAAAGCATTTTTTAACCTACCTTTGTCTAAAGAGCAGACTCAGGCATGAAATAGGAAATACACAACCAATTCAGTGACTGAAATGCAGACATCTGAAGCCTACCACCTCTCTCTACCAGTTTGTTGCTGAAATAATTTAACAAACAGGGAAGGTAAAACTCCATCCCACACCTGGAAACTAAAAGGGGCTTCCAACAACACACCAGAAGCTCCTGGTTTCCCTGAGGTTTTCCAGTAGGTGCAGAGCCGGTGGAAGGGCCTGCCAGTTAGCCCACTGTCCCACTACCCTCTGTTGTCGCAGCAGGAAGGAGGTTCCCCTGCCTTGCACCACAGGAAAGCAAAGACAGTGCACCCTGCAGGCAGCCTCGGGAGGCAGCCTCAGTCCCTGCTCCTTACAACTGATGACACAAGAAGACAAAGCAGACAGGGAGGTTAGCTCTTCACTGTGAGACATCATCAGTGGCCACCAAGGCTCAGGGACCGGCAGGCTATTTTAATACAGTCGTGCTGCATGACGTCTTTTCTGTCAACAGCAGACCCATGTATGACAATGGTCCCATGAGATTATGATACTGCATCTTTACTGTACCTTGTCTATGTTTATATGTGTTTCTGTTTTAGAAACAATAGCTTATAATACATGTATTTAGATACACAAATACTTCCCATTGTGTGACGGTTGCCTGCACTGTTCAGTACAGTCGGGTGCTGTCTAGGTTTGCAGCCTAGGAGCAACAGACCGTGCCATTTGGCCTAGGTGTGTAGTAGGCTGAACCGTCTGGGTCTGCGTAAGTGCATTTTGTGATGCCCACACAACCACAAAATTGCCTAACGGTGCATTTCTCAGAATGCATCCCTGTTGTTAAGTGAAGCATGACAGTAATAGTCCTAAGAATCAATAAAAGGAGAAGAAAATTAAAGAATGAGAAGATTTTTTTAGAGGAGCAGAAAGTGAGGAGAGAAGACAAGTAACAGGAGAGAGCAGGCCAATGGAAGAGTGCAGAAAGCAGAGTAAAATCAGTGATTTCGGGAGCCAGTCAGCATGATCAAGCTCGTCTTCAGTGTGTCTTCCTACAGATAATTCCCACCCTGCCCACAGCCAACAGCGTGAGTGAACTGGGAGCAACATCCCCCTCCAGCTTTATCAGTTCATCATTTCGCAAGCATTTTTGAACACCTACCCTGTGGGAGGTGTGCACTAGCCAACCAGGAACCATGTGGCTAGACATTCCCAGTCTAAAAGCAAGGATTCATGTCATAGTAACAGAGGGAACCACCTGAATTACAAGCGGGTTAAAATTATGAAAGAACTTCCAAGTTCCCACTCACCTGGAGGCCGCTCTGACACCTAAAGCAACCTCTTCCCTGCTTTGGCCTCATTTCTGTACTGTCATTTTCCCTCAGCAGCTTGCTCACAGCCCTGTCCTGGGAGAGGCGCAGTCTGAGGTAGGCGGGGTTACCTTCAGTCTCTTCTCTTTCTCCAGTCCAACGGAGTTGATGATGTTGAGCTCGATGTAGATGAAGCTGAGCATGAGGAGCAGAGGGAACTCGTTCTGCAGGACAAGGAAGAACCCGTCCTGGATATAGGCTCCATATGGGAATCTCTTCACAAGCACATTGAGACTCTCAAACATGTTGGTCATCGCATCGCGAGCGTGGTACTGCATGATGGCTTTATCTACAGCATGCTGTATGGCCAGGAAGCCCTCTTTGTGGTATCCTACCGGAAAACGGTGAGTATCATGCATAAGAAATTAAGGAAGACTGGAGATGCAAAGCAACTGACAATCCAGATGGCTCATGTCTAGCCATTCACAGAGCCAGACAAACAATGGCAGGGAAGGCACCCTCACAGGCCACACCCTGCGGTATGGAAGAAAGGGAAGAGTAACAATGGAGGCCCCTGGTGCTGAGGCTGATGGCACCTATGATCAGAAAACGGGGTAAAGGAGTCCTGGGAAGACAAAATAAGGGATGGCCAATTCAAGAATCTTCCACAGTAGGGCCACATCTTCCCCCCTACTCAGACTTTAGGGAAAGGACACCCGTTCTGGAGTTCAATCACACAGCGTGTACAGGATGGTTAAACTCACAGCACTTGAAGCTTGTGTGACTCACTGTGACCTGTTTTTGAGTCATTATTACTGCTATAGCCTGAGCATTATGGTCACTGAATTTTGCTGCCAAGCCTCAAAAACACTCCTGACCACAAGCAACCCTCTTTTCAATACAGTGTAAGTGGTGTGTTGGGGTCAGCTTTCAGGAAAAATCGGTTTGGGGGCCTTCTCAGAGATAATATCCCCACCTCCAAGTAAGGGTTACCAACCCTCTATGTGGGCTGAGCCGGGGCTGGGGGGAGTACATCAGCCCTGGAGTAGAGGTGGCTGCGGTCTTCTGACAGTCTGGACCTAGGCAGACCTCAGATCTGTCAAGATGAAAAAAGGAGAAACAAATTGTTGGTAATAAATTTTGGGAACTGTTACATATTCTTGATTGTGTGTAGGAATATCTTCACTGAGGAACTGCTGAAACTTGTCTAGAAGTACATGAAGCTAAGTACTTGGACTTAGATTCCCACTTGGTGGGCATGGCAGCCCAAGGCTTCAGGCCAGCTGTGGAGTCATTCTACAGAGAGGTGCAGTCCCAGTTATATAGGAGGCTGAGGTGGGAGGCTAAGGTGGAAAGACTGCTTGAGCCCAGGAGTTCAAGGTTGCAGTGAGCTATGATGACACCATTGCACTCTAGCCTGGGTGATAGAAAGGACCCCATCTCTCAAAAAACAATTTCTAAGAACAGTTAGTTGCCTAGAGGGTGTTCACCCTAAAGCCCTCACCAAGAGAGAGACCAAAAAATCTAAAGCGAATTGAAGAGCACGAGTCCTTTAAGAGAGATTGGCTCAGGGGCCTCCAGTCAGGAATACGATGCTTATCGTGAAGGACATAGGATGAACAGATGTCGTTGTTCCACTACTTCTCTGGGTGCCTGAGATGGCCAGAGTGAGAGCAGGGGCTGCGATGGTGCAGGCAGGTCCAGGTCCTGAACTGGTGCCAAGTTTAGGTGTTTGCTCGGTCAGGTAGAGTCAGAGCCCTCTCCGCGGGAGAGAGCAAGCTGAGGGAAAGCAGCCACTCAGCAAGGCTCCTCTGCACCCTGGCCAGAGGGCACCAGGGCAGAAAGTCAGCACAGCTCTCCAAGGAGAGAGGACGATGGCAGTCAGGGGTCAGGACCCAGCTCTGGGAGTACACACCATCCCTTAGGACAAATAGGAGTTCCTGGAAAAACCCTGACCTCTGGCATTAATTTTCTGTCCCCTTATCCTGAATAAAACGGGGAATGGGAAGGGACTTTTCTCAGGCTAGGGTTCCAGACAGGGGGACACAGGGGCGGAAATGGGAATGATAAGCCATGACTATGAGACCGGAAGAAAAGGGAACTGGCATTCTTGCACCAGTGGTGGGGGTGGGGCAGGGAGGAGAGCAAGAATCAAAGAAAGATCTAAAGCGTCAGTCAGAGCGAGTAAAATCCAAGTGAAGGATGAGCCAAGGAACCGGCCAGACAGAGCTCAGGGATTCTGGAGGCAGAGCCTGGAAACATCCCTAGAAGCAGGAACCGAACCTTTAGAGCTGACAGGTAGGCAGGGAGCCCTGAGGCAGTGTGCACAACTGCCTTCTGTTTCTTCGTTATTAAATAAAATGAGATAGATGAAATGCACAGGACATGCTTAGTGGAGACAGTAAGATAGGAAAGTTAGATATTTGTAGTTAAAACAAACAGAATGTGTATGTTGAACAGAATGCGTTTTTAAAAGGACAGAACAAACAAGAGTGGAACTTACAGGCAGAAAGTTGAGGCCAAGACAATTTTAAATATTCATAAAGCATAGATTATGTTTCCTCCATGATGATGGATATGTCACCCTTAAATTGGTCACTCATTGGTGACATCTGTTATGGTCCCACTTGGGCCCTGCAAGACCTCTGCCCAAGAGGCACAGATAAAGCTCATGGGAGCTCAACAGGCTACTCAGGAGCTACAGGTCTGCCAGGTGGTCCTGCTTCCACATCTGTCCAACAAGGCAAGTGCACGTTGGTGTCTGCCTAGCTCCCTCGCTCATCCTGAGTTCTGGCCCCCTACCTACACCATCGGGCGAGGCTCATGCAGTAGAGAGAGCAGAACACATGAATGTTGTGTTCTCTCGCCTCTGGCATAGCTTTCCCGATAGTAGCCTTGGAAACTACCATTGCATCTAGATGATTTCCCACACAATACTCATAGAAGTCAGCTGTAAATTCCTTAAAATGAAAAGATACTAGGTGTTTGTCTTCAAAGGGTACAAAGCATGAGGATCTGGAGAGAACGGAGAAGAAGCCCAAGGGCTAGATGGGGAATGGTAATTGGCGAGTGGAGAACAGGCCCAGTCAGTCCCTGGGACTACAGCCGAGGAAAGCAAGAGCCAGGAGACTTGGACATCTAAGTGGGAGGCAAAGGATGGAACTGGAGAAAGCAGTGGAATGGCATTCCATGATGTGGACATTCTCATTTCCCTCTCCATCCTGGTTATGGAATACCAAAGGATCAGAAGGTACCTAATTGGATATGATATGCTAAAACAAAATAGGAAGGAAGCTTAAAATGCAGCAGGAGAAAATATGCCACAGGAAATTTTTCTTAAATTGTGGGAAATAAGAATACCAAAAAGTGAAGCAAGTTTCCAAAATGAGAAATAATTTTCCCCAAAACATGGAAATGAAAGAGAGGGTTCTAATGTCACATACAGCTACAATTTTTTCAGTTAAGTTCAGAAGTTAAATACTTTTCTAGATAACCAGGAGAAGCTTTGCCATGCAAGGAATGTGAGAGCTAAATAAGATGATGGGTGTATAAACACATACCACAGGGCCTGATGGTGTGTAAATAATTTTTGAAAGTCACTTTTTATTAGCAACCAGAAGAGCTGTTTCCCTTGGGATAGCAGTGACTGAGGGACAGAATGGGGTTCCTGGGCTGCTATAATGTTCTGTTTCTGGACCTGAGTTCTGGTTACACAGACGTATTCAGTTTGTGAAAATGCATAGAGCTGTACCTCTATGACTTGTGTACTTTTCTGAATGTATGTTATACTTCAATAAAAAGTTAAAAAAAAAAAAACCACTTTAGAATGCAGCATCCACACCAGACAGTTAAACGGAGACCGAGCCCTGTGAAGCAGCAAACAGGGCAAGAACAGCCTAGCAAAGGCCTGAGCCCAAAAGCAAACCACTTTAAGAAAAAGTAGAAGAGTAATTATTTTATGGGAGTTTTAACAACTTATAAAAATAAGGCCTCTTAAATGGCAGTCTGTAGACAGCAAAAAGCAAATATGCATTTTTATAAACATAAAAGTTAATACATACAGACACCTGGGGAAGGGATTCGCATTCCTTGTTTCTATAAAATGGTTCCATCCTTCCTTCAAACAATTGTTACAAACAATCGAATGCATAACTCCAGTTCTAACTTACTCTAGAACATGAGCATTTTACTGAATGCCACATTTCTAAATGTAACTCCTTCAATCTCTTTTGAAATGTTAGGTTAGCAAGTGTTCTGGCATCAAAACAATGACAACGAAATAGCATCACAAACATGTACCACAGGACAAAAGTGCCCTTAACACACGTAGGCTTCGGAGCTTCCTCACCAGGGCTTCCCCCGTCGGTATATGCAAATTCCCGGGGTCCTTGGCTTGGGTTAGGAGGATAAAGGAAGGATGTGCACCAGCCTTCTATATTATCTTCAAAAAATACATGCTTCAATGATAAATAATTCCTTTGAATGTGACTGAAGCGCAAGTCATACTTAACCTACAAAGGATAAAGAGAAAACAAATTCAGTTGCGAGATCCTGACACTCAGCAAAGCACAGACAGCAACGCTGCGCGTGGCGGCAACCGCGGCTGGAGGAAAGGCACCCACTGGCCTTGGTGGGAAGCGAGAATACCAAATAGTAAAGCAAGTTTCCAAAATGAGAAATAATTTTCCCCCAAAACGAAAATGAAAGAGAGAGTTCTAAAATCACATACAGCCACACTTTTTTCAGTTGCTAAACTTAGAAGAAACCCAGAAGTTAAATACTTTGTGGATAACCAGGAGAAGCTTGGCCATGCGAGGTGGAGCTAAACAAGGTGATGTGTGTATAAACACACAGGGCTGGATGGCATGTAATAATTTTTCAAAATCACTTTTTATTAGCAGATAGAATAGCTGTTTCCCTTGGAAGGGTAGTGACCGGCGGGGCAGAATGGGGTTTCTGGGCTGCTGTAATGTTCTCCTGGGAGCACACCTGGTCTTCCCTGGGTACTCTGCAAATTATCCCTGCTACCATCTTGGGAAACACACAAGTGGCTACTGAGCCACTTTCAGGAAGGGTGTGCTGAAGAATACTCCAGAGTGAGGGCTCTGGAGCCAGGCCACCAAGGTCCAAACCCCAAATCTCCTACTGAATAGCCATGTCATCTCGGGCAAGTTACTTGATCTTCATACATCAGTTTCCTCATCAGTAAAATGGGGACGATATTAATAGCACCCACCTCATAGGCTGCTGCAGGATTAAGTGAGATGGTCCTGTGATGTGCCTGGCATAAATAAATGCTTGAAAAACACTGTTGATTACTTTATTAACATGTCTCTCTCCATCTACCAACATTCCATGCAAGTTCTAACAGTTAATCATTAGGTAGACTATACAGTACAAAAGCTGTATGTGAGTGGTTTCTCCATTCCAAAACATAAACCAAAATATTCCTATATTTAAAACACTGCCCTTTCCTTAAACAAACACACACAGACCTATCATATCTGAAGTCACTGGGATTAGTGTAACGACAACGATGATAACGAATCCTTCTGAAAAATTCCTCTGTGCCAAGCTCTATTCTAAGCACTTTATGGGCATAAATTCATTTAATTCTCACAACAGCTCTGAGTTAGGTACTCATATTAACCCCACACACCAGTAAGGACACTGAGGCCCAGAAATGGTAGTAACTTTCCCAAGATTACACAGCTAGTAAGCCGCAGAGCTGGACTCACATGTACCGAGCCTGATGCTGTCGCAATCAAGCAGTTAACACGTGCCACCCTGTACTCTCAGGGTGGAGGCTTGCTCAGAACAAGTCTTTTAAAGAATCTGAAAACTGGAAGGGATCCCAAAGTCTAGGTTGCAAGATGTGAAACACAGGAGCATTCTCTTGTCTCCTCTGGAAATAAGATGACGAAGCTGCCACAGAGGAGAGCCGAGGGGCAGACCAGGTAGCAAGGCTGCTTAAGGAACCCCTGCTCAAGGATGGGTAGCACAGTGTGATAGAAAAGACGTTCTTACCGCAAGTGGCAACGGTGCATTGCTGTCATTGAAGTTATGGTCAAAAACAATTCCTGTCAATATGTAGAAAGCTTTGGGATCATTAATTATGTCATCTTCAAACAAAGTCACCAAAGAATAGCCTAAAACTACAGAGAAAAAAATTCAATCAGGCTGGTGTGAAGATAAGTGCTGCCCAACTACCCCCTTTCTACCTACAGAGACTTAAGATTGCCAGCTTCTCCATTCACTCATTCATTTGTTCTGCAAGAATATGAGCAGAGAGATAAAAAGAAATAAGGAAGAGAGATTAAGAGACATAACTCTTGTTGTTTAACTCAGAACTTCATAATTCAGTCTGTAGTCCCAGGAACTACTAGCAGGTGTCTTGGAAGATCAAAAAAGTAAGTCGAGGAAGGAAGAGAGAGAATTTAAGTCCCAATCACATAATTTGAGACCTGGATCAAGCTTCATAGTTTGTTCATCGTTAAAGAATGAGCTTTGTTCTTGTAGGACGTTTGAGTTTCATCCTTTTAAGGCTTGTTATTAACCTGAGTTTTACATGTTGATTATTTTATTTTTCATTTCTAGAAGTTCTATTTGGTTCTTTTTTATTTTTCTCCCAAATCTGCTACGTGACTCTTTATAGTGACATGCTACCTCTAAATCCTTTCGGGTTGCCTTTGATTTCTTCAAACCAAGTAAACTCAGTGATTTTATAATGTGGCACTAATAATTCCATTATCTGGAATACTTCTAGTTCTGTTATGGCTTCTGTTGTTAATACTGATTGTCACCCTTGGCATCTTGTCTCCTAGTGTGTCTGCTCATCAACCTTCATGTGCTTGTGCTGAGTCTTCTGAGAGAGAAAGAAGGTGTGTTCTTCCAGAGATTTACATTTACATCGGTCAGTCTGAGTCCCACTTCAAAGGGTTTTCTCTTTTTTCCTCTTTCTTTTTTCTTTTTTTTGACAACCAGGTGATGTTGAGCTACAAATCTCAGGGCTGGTCCCTTACTGCTGTGCTCAGTTCTGAGGCAACATTCCTTGCAGTCCCTTAGGAGTGGGATGGGGCATGTTTACTTAGGGCTCAATCTTACATTAACCACCATGTATGATGCAGGCATTTGGGGTCCCAGCTTTATGCGGAGATAGTCTCTTATTATTAGACACCCCACCTTGAATGAGCCTTCACTTTTCCTTCTTTCCCTCTGTGCCTTTCAAGGCTATGAAAACTACAGTTCAATTTCCCCTAGTATGAGGCATGTTTTCATTAGGACCTCCACTGACCTCTTTGGGTTCTTTCCTTCATCTAGATTTTTTAATTAGGAAACTATCTAGTAATCTGGAAACATGTTCACAATAAAATAAAAGGCAGACAACAAACTAGCTCACTATTATAATAGGATGTTACTTTTGTTTTTTACAAAAAGTGCGAGAAGCATGTAGACCAAGATATTAAATAACGAGTGAATTTTCTTTTTTCTTATAGACAAGAGGACTTCAAAAATTTCATGAAAAATATGCATTATGAAAAAATTGGCAGGGTGTGATGGCTCACGCCTGTAACCCTAACACTTTGGGAGGCAGAGGCAGCAGGATCACTTGAAGCCAAGAATTTGAGACCAGCCTGGGCAACATAGCAAGATCCTGTCTCTACCAAAAATTAAAAAAAATAGCCAGGTATGGTGGCACATGACTGTAGTCTCAGCTACTCAGGAGGCTGAGCCAGGAGGATTGTTTGAGCCCAAGAGTTTGAGGTTGCAGTGAGCTATGATTGTGCCACTGCACTTTTAAAAAGAAAACAAAAATGTATGCATGGATTTCAAAATTTTTTGCTCCAAAATAAGCTAGTACTCACTTGTTGTAACATGTCTGAACAGGACCTAGTTTGAGGCACTAAGAAGGATAAGACACCAATTTGAAAAGAGCCTCTGTCAGAGCAACATAAGTTCTGCTAAAATTGAACCAAGACCACCACGTTAATGGTGAAGCTTTGGTGGAAAAATGTTGAAATCACTGATGTTTTACAAAAAGCTTATGGAGACAATGCCCCAAAGAAATCAGCAGTTTACAAATGAATAACTCATTTTAAGAAGGGACAAGACGATGTTGAAGATGAAGCCCACAGCTGCAGGCCATCATTATCAATTTTCGAGGAAAAAATTAATCTTGTTTGTGCCAAAACTGACGAGGACCAACGATTAACAGCAGAAACAACAGCCAACACCATAAACAGGGCAACTGGTTCAGCTTACACAATTCTGACTGAAAAATTAAAGTTGAGCAAACTTTCCACTTGATGGTTGCCGAAACTACTGCACCCAGATCAGCGGCAGACGAGAGCAGAGCTTTCAATAGAAGTTTTAAACAAGTAGGTTCAAGGTCCTGAAGCTCTTCTTTGAAGAACTGCAACAGGGGACGAAACAGGGCTGTACAGGACAGTCCTGGAGACGAAGCACAATCAAAGCACTGGCCACCAAGAGGTCCAGAGCAAAGGTCATGGCACCAGTTTGGGGGAGGCTCAGGCATTCTGCTTGTTGACTTTCTGGAGGGCCAAAGAATAACACCTGCTTATCATGAGAGTGCTTTGAGGAAGTTAGCCAAAGCTTCAGCAGAAAAACGTCTGGGAAACTTCGCCAGAGAGTCCTTCTCCACCACCACAATGTTCCTGCTCATTCCTCTCATCTAACAAGGGCAATTTTTCAAGAGTTTTCATGGGAAATTGTTAGGCACCCACCTTCCAGTCATGATTTGGCTCCTTCTGACTTCTTTTTGATTCCTACTCTTAAAGAAAACTTTAAAGGGCACCCATTTTTCTTCAGGTAATAATGTAAAAAAGTCTGCATTGACATGGTTAAAGTCCCAAGACCCTCAGCCCTCCAGGGATGGACTAAATGGCTGGTGTCATCGCTTATAAAAGTGTCTTGAACCGATGGAGCTTGAGAGATAGAGTTTATATTTTTTAATTTTTATCTTATAATTCCATCTTTCCACAAACTTTTTCTCCTCATTTTTTTTGTTCTTTTGTTTCCTTAGCCTCATTTAGGTTTCTTCTTAAATACACACACGCACACAGACACACAGAGTTAAATTGTGAAAAATAACATACATAGGAAAGTATACAAAACACATATGTTCAGTTTAATGAATAGTTATAAAATGAACACCTAAGTAATCACCCTTTGGATCAATAAATAAAATATTTTTACCTTAGTTTTTTTGTCTAGATAGTTCCTTGCTATCTATTTAGTTCTTTAATGTTTTCAAGAACATAATTTTAATATTTTATCCAGCATTTGTTTTTCAACTGGAGGGCTGATCCAAATAACCTGGTCTACCATATTACCAGAAATGGAATGCAATAATCTCTTCTCAGAAATCCCCAAGAAGAAACCTCACTGTCGCATTAACTCCTACTAAGTGTTCTCCCTGGACAGATCGCTGTAGCAAGGGGAATGCAAAGTGCAAACTGGTTTAGACACAGGTTACATGATCCATTCTGAG